ACGTCAGTGCCTTGTGCAGAATGCATAGATAGTGGGTGGAGCCACCAAGATCTAAAGGTTTCTGTAGCTGAGAGTGACAGCAGCAACGCTTCTTCCTGCACTGTCAGGATAACCGAAGAAGCCCTGAGCTATGCAGGAGGAGTAGCGGGCAACGTAAAGCACTCAGCACAGTGGGTCGGTTTAAGTGAAGCTGAGGCAACTCATTGCTATAAATCGTTTTTTTCCTGTTTCAAAATTCCTCTCTTTCCTGAACAAGCGTTCACACTCACCAGTTGACGTAGTTTATGTATTTTTTTATTTACGTCATTTGTACCCCACGTTTATCTCCTATGGGGACCCAAGGCAGCTTACAACATTCTCCTCTCCTCCATTTTATCCTCACAAACAACCCTATGAGGTAGGTTAGGCTGAGAGAGTGTGTCTAGCCCAACGTCACCCAGCAAGCTTCCAGGGTGAAGGATTCAAACCTGGGTCTCCCAGATCCTAGCCCGACACCCTAACCGCTGCTATACTATAAACTACCACTATGCTAAGTGCAGTGAGCTATTTATTTTATTTTTTTGCTTTCAAATGCTCAACAGGCCCTTATTTTCGATTTCCATCCAAACTAGTAAACTAGGGCTCATCACTTGCTCTTTCAACCATGGTTTGTTCCCACAATGAGCCCAAGCCATGGTTTGCTGGTTCGAATGGTAGCAACAAACCAGTTTGCTTGGAAGTGTTGAGCAGCCACTTTGCTAGATGAGGAGGGATCACACAGACATACCTGAAGTGCCTTCAAGGCTCATTCACAGACTCAAACCCAGGGTTAACGCTTCATCAAAACTAAGACATTGTCCATAAGCTTACATTTTGAGGAATAGGTCAAAATAGTCATGATAGAGAGCCAGTGCAGTATAGTGGCTAAGAGTGCCTGACTAAGATATGAGAGACATGGGTTCAAATCCCTGCTTTGCTATGATACCCCGCTGGGCCTGTCATTCATTCTCTCAGCCTAACTTACTTCAGTTTATTTATTTATTTATTTTATTAATCCAATTTATACCCCTCCCTCCCCACAAAGCAGGCTCAGGGTAGCTCACAGTCAATATATAAATAACAGTGTAGTGGTTAGGAGCATGGACTCTAATCTGGGAGAACTGGGTTTGATTCCCCACTCCTTCACATGCAGCTGCTAGTGTGACCTTGGGTCAGTCACAAGTTATTTCAGAGCTGTTCTCTCAAGAGCAGTTCTCTCAGAGCTCACTCAGTCCCATCTACCTCACAGGGTGTCTGTTGTGGGAAGGGGAAGGAGATTGTAAGCCACTCTGAGACTCCTTCTGGTAGTGAAGGGCGGGGTATAAAATCAGCTCCTCTTCTTCTCCTCCTCCTCCTGAAGTGGTTGTTGTGAGGATAAAATGGAAAAGATGGGAATGCCTCTTTGGGGAGAAAAGCAGGGTATACATACCTTAATAAATGACAGAATAAGGCTACCCATGGAGACAGCTGTGTTTCCAGTGGCTTGAAGCATGGAAGAGGTGAATTTGAGGGGGTAGCCTTTGCTATTAAACAAGTTCTGCTTCTAGCTAGTACTTTTTTGACTGAAGTCCAGAGGAAGACTGATTCTTCTCCTGTTCTCAGCCAGTGTTGGAGGAGCCTTGCGTAACATTTATGTAAGTGTTCCAAATTGTAGGCTAGATTGTATCTGTTCCATTGATTGACATAGTAACCCAGACTTGGTAATTTAATGCTGCTTCCTTGGTACTAAACATGGTCATTTCCATGCAGATGGCTATCATTAAAATATGCTGGGTGATCAGGTTCCAGCCACTGCAGACACGTGCCGGCTTGCGGGAAAGTTAAAAATTTCTTATCTGCACCTGTTAAGGCTCAGGGCTTAATGGTTAAAGCTTTGCTTTCCAGATCTTTTCCAGATGTGCGGCTGGGCTTTTTCGTTGCCATTTCTACAGCGAGACTGGAAATGTGGGAGCCGATGATACAGGCAATGTTTTGTAGAGTGTAAAACATTAGGACTAGAAAGTACCTCCCTCCCCGTTTCCAAGAGGTGACCTTCTTACTGGAAGTGGGAGTCTGTGGGACACTAGACTGATTGATGGAACATTATATGATTTGGATTTCTGTGCTGGGCCAGTTCTCCTGGGGATTTGTGAATGTGGTACACCTCAGTTTTATAGAAACAGGCATTTGCTTGTGATTGCCCTCCGTGTGGAAATTGTGAAAGGTACTCTGCCTGTGAGAAAGTGTTTTTTTAAATAAAGGTTTCTGTCTGGCACAGGTGAGTTTTCATACGAACCTTAGGAGGACTGTAGGGCTTCTGAAACGTAAAAGGAGATTGGCCTTGGGAATGACAGATGACCTGATTTCAGTGTGGCACTGGAGGGCAAGAAAAACTTATCCATACTTATCCATGTGACTGTATGCGCTCAGTGTGGCATGCTAACATTATTTATTTACCAGCTGAGGACCCATTTGAAGCTTTACACTGGGTTTGGTGTAGTGGTTAAGTGTGCGGACTCTAATCTGGGAGAACCGGGTTTGATTCCCCACTCCTCCACTTGCACCTTCTGATGTGACCTTGGGTCGGTCACAAGCTCTGGCACAGCTGTCCTTGAAAAAGAGCAGTTCCTGCCAGAGCTCTCTCAGCCCCACCCACCTCACAGGGTGTCTGTTGTGGGGAGGGGAAGGGAAAGGAGTTTGTAAGCCGCTCTGAGACTCCAAGTGAAGGGCGGGGTATAAATCCAATCTCTTCTTCTTCTTCTCTTCTTTATGCAACTTTTTTTTAACTTCCAATATAATTTTTAAATTTGTCTTAAATTTGAATTTCCTCTAACACAGTTTTTCCCTCCTCCTCCTCCTGAGAAGCTGTCATGACTTCTCTTTTAATTTTTGTTATTAGATACGGTGTGTCTTTAACTTTCTTGTTATTTCTGTCTTTGTCTCTTAGTATGTAACGCTGCCACCAGGAATTTATTTCCAGTCCTATTAATTAATCTTTCTAGGGCTTCTTCATTGGACTATGTGGTCCTGAGGATGAGACTCTAGTATTTAAATAGCATAGGACTATAAATAATAAAGTGGCCCTTGTTAAATCCATATTGGTGTCCGTCTCTTCATTCCAAGTGTGGTGGCAAAGCATATTGACTTCAAGATGTTTTGAAACTTATCTCTTCAGTGTATAGTAATAACTTCTGACTATCACCCTCTTTCACTTCACAAACTCTCCTCACTCTCAAATCCTCCTTTTTCTTCATAATGTACTTTGCCCAGTCTTTATTTTATTTAGCTCAGTTTAATCTTCCCCTTTTAACTCAAATTTCTGTCAGCTTCTATCTCTCACACCCTTATAATACTTTGACAATAGTAGATTTTGACTCTCTCCAGTTGCTAATACCGTTTCCCCAAAAGTAAGACATCCCCCGTAAATAAGACCTACTTACAGTTTTGCCTCTCGCTGAAATATAAGGCATCCCCCCGAAAATAAGACCTCCCCGATAATAAGGCCTCCCCCGAAGCTACCATAACTCTGGACTCTGGGCCGTAGCGGCGGGTGCTGCCGCGCAGCTCACTGTTGGCCGCCGCGCAGCCGGAGCAGACAGGAAGTGCGAGGTCTCTTTTAATCAGAGAGCCTGCGCTGCCGCCAGGACAAGCTGCCGCCTGCTGCTCGCTCTGCCCTGACGGAGTGTACCGTATTCTTCTTCATGGAAAAATAAGACATCCCCTGAAAATAAGACCTAGCGCATCTTTGGGAGCAAAAATTAATATAAGACACTGTCTTATTTTCGGGGAAACAGGGTATGTCCTCTAAAGTATTTTACTTCCTTTTTAGAATCTTAAATGCTTTTCACAGCACTAATATGGGATTCTAATCTGAAGACTGCTTCTCAGACTCTGTTAGACTGCTGACTGACCACAACTGACTGTTGACTGCTGACTGACCACAACTGACTGTTGACTGCTGACTGAACACACTGAATGACTTCCTCCACATAGTTCTTAGCTCCCCCCATTCACTCTCAGTCACCAACCAATCACTTCACTCACTCACCCCCCTCTTTCACCCCCCTGGCTCTTCTGAAATTTACCAAACATTTAAAGAAACACACACTTAAAACTTCATTACATGAGCCTTTCTTAATTCTTAATTTTGGGTCTCTCCAAATGTAATATCCTGTCTTCTTTTGCCCCATACCAGACTTGGCATCTCTGAGGATTAGAACTTAGCCAAAAAGGTCTCTCTCTAGACAGCCATCAGTTACCTCCATGAGTCATGGTCGAGAATGAGCATATCATCCATATAATGGTTTTGTTGTGGTCAGTGTTCCCTCTAAGCTGAGTTAGTGTGAGCTAGCTCACAGTTTTGTAGCCTCTGGCTCACACATTTTTGTCTTAGCTCAGGAAGGATGGCTCCAGAGCAAACTAATATATGCAGTAGCCAAATCGCTCTCTCACAACTTTAATGCCAGTAGCTCACAAAGTAGAATTTTTGCTACCTTTCAGCTATGCTGTTGCAGAATGCAGGGGGTTGGACTAGATGACCTGCAAGGTCCCTTCCAACTCTATGATTCTATGATTCCACAGCTTAGAGGGAGCATTGGGTCAAAACTGTTCATTATGACAGCTAGGGGGAAGATCCAAATTATACCCTGCTAAAATGTCCAGCTCATTAGAATTTTGGCAAATCTGGATTTTCTTGGCATGATATTAAAATTAACGCTGAGGAAGGCTGAATAAAACTCAGTTGTGTTTTCTCGAAGGCCAGTGGCCTGTGTCATCCCATTCCAGCAAGCAAGGTTCGGTGCCTCCTTCCAGCCTAAGGAGTCTCCTCCAATCCGTGGCTGTTCAGAGGCTACCATCTTTTGTGAATTATGCTATTTATTCAGATACAGGCAAATGTAAGTCTGTTTATTCTCAGCAGTTTGTGGAGCCCCTCTTTGTAGGCAGGAGTTGCCTTAATGATACTTAACTAACCTGATATCTTTTGTACACATTTGTCTCTGCAGATGAAAAAGGCCAAGATGCAGGAGTCGGGTGAACAGATGTTAAGGTGCGTAATACATGTGTTGATTTTTTCCCTTCACAGCATGTGTCCCAGGGTTGGAATCACTGTGACTCCCTTCCACCCATGAGAAAGACTTGCTTGGTCTTCCAAGCCCAGTGTTTTAGCTGGAGATGCCAGGGAATGTACAGGGAGCCGCCTTCAGCATGCAACACACATGTTTGCTCCTGAGCCATGGCTCCTCTCCATCAGTGCTTCTGTACTGCACAGGAGGCTAGTAACAGCGCTCATGTCTGTGTTCATCCTTTCAGGCAAGTGAACAGCACAGAGGACAGCGATCAGAAACCCGAGACCTCAAGCCTTGGCGCAAACCTGTCTATGTCCAACGAAAGTAAGTGGCTTCTCTATCTTTTATCGTTTGGTTTGAAACAACAGTGGGGCTTTGTGCAGCCCTAACTGTGTGCCCAAGCCCTCCTTGCAGCCGATATGCAGAGACTATGTAAACTTTCTTTGTATGCCAAAGAGACACATATGATCTATTTGCATTATCCTTTACAGCACGTGCCCCTATAGAACAGCCTTTTAGAACTTTTTTGAGTTTTTAAAATATAATATGGGAGCTGGTGTTGGAGCCATAGTCAGACTACCGATCCACCTTGCTGTGAGTCAGAGTGGCTTCCTAACATCTCAGACAGAGCAGGGCCAGGTACCCAAGTGACCTTTCCCAAGGTCCTTTTTGGTTGGAATCACCAGGGCTTGAATTTGGGACTTTCTGCATACAAAGCATGTGCTCCGTTGCAGAACCATAGCCCCTCCCCAAATAAGGGCGGGGCCATAGGTCCATTCAGAGAGCAATCCTAAACAAGCGTACTCGCAAGTGAGTCCCATTTTATTCAGTGGCGCCTAATCCCAGGAAAATGTTCTTAGGTTTGCAGCCTTTAGTTAAATATGGCCTGCTCTGACTGGTAGAGGTTCTCTAGGGTCTCAGGCCAAGGAAGATCTTTCTGAGATCCTTTAACTGGAGTTGCCAGAGTGAACTGGGCAGTTCCTACACAGGCTGTGCCACTGAACCTCCTCTCTGAAGTACTGGGCCAATGCCTTGTAACTTAAGAGTGCTTTAAAAGCTAAGATTAGTGGCGGGGGAGTGGCCTAGAGGGAGACTGTCCAGAAGTATAGGCTGTTCATGCCCTTGTGGACTGTGGTCAAGATAGCTACACACACACACACACACACAGAGTTAAATATGTATAGTCCTTTTATCCATTGATAAGTGGCATTTTTATAAGAAGACATCATTCATATAGTGCAGTACAGTGTTTAAAGCACTTAGGTCAGTATTATTTCTATAGCATAGATTGTGGGGTGGGAATGGTGGAGAGGAGGCACAGATGAGGCAATTGCAGACTTCCTGGATCATGCTGTTAACTGCTGTACTACAGTACAGCTTGTTTTAGTAGTATGTATCAATGATGCATTCAAGAGGATGTGGATTCTCTTGGAAGTTTTGAGAGGGAATTGTGCCGAACCAGCATGCGGGTTTAGAAGGAGGAGGAAGATTCAGGGATGCTGCATGAAAGTAGAATATTACAAAAGCCAAGTTGGGAGACGAGGCATGGATTGTGGGAGAAGTGAGCAAACTGGAGAATGCAACCCTTAAGATCTCTCTGTCCACGATGCTCTTAAGTTCTCAAGGGCTTGGACAGGCTACTCTCCTGCCCTGTTTTTATTTTTTGGCACATACTCTGCTTCTATCAAGCTTTTTTTGTCTTATTTTTTGTCTTACCTGGGGAGTCTCTTATGTAGAGACCCCCCGCATGTGTGTTGGTGGCCCCACTGTGCTACTTTTCATGACTGACTTGGGGGCTAACCACGTACATAGTGATATCCTGTGCCTGGACTTCTTCTGTAATATAGGAGGTAATCTTTACTGCAAAAGTTCCTGTTACTACTACTATCGCTTCTGGCTTCCTGGGAAGCAATTTATTGCTTTCTGGGAAGCAATTGCTATCATATTTTTTTAAAAAACACCCTAGACAAGAATCTGAGGAAATTCCCCTACCCAACACACAGATTTACTGTGAACCGTACCCATTAGGGGTCATGGGCGGTATACAAATCACATGTAAATAAATAAATAAAATAAAATAAACAAAAAACTAGAGACCAAATTCTTTGGAACTTCCTGTCAGTGAAGCTAAATAGAGAACATCCTTCATGCTCACTTCTTTCTCTGTGGTGACCAGAAACGAACTCGCTCTGTGGTGGGAAGGCACTGGCACTGTCGTTTGACTCATGCACTGGGTGTGAGAACACCTGGCTTAAGGGGAGGGGGGTTTCTTTCGCTCAGAAAACTTTCTAGAAGGGTCCGTGGTTACTGATGAACAACCATCACAACTTGCGCAATATCCAGATGGTACTACTCACCAGGGGTCGTTTCATAGAAAAAGAGCTAGGGGAACTCATTAGCATAACTCATTAGCATATGCCACACAACCTGACATCACCGGAAGTGTGTCATAAGGCCACACTACCTGACATCATCGAAAGTGTGTCATAAGGCCACACACCCCTCCCCCAACGGTCCCGGCCGCCGCCGCCGGCCCAGGCAGGGGTGGGGAGAGGCAGGGAGGAAGCAACTTACCCTCCCTCTTCTCCTGCCTCCTCCTGGCTGAATGAGGGCCGGAAGCGGGGCGGCCGGACGCAGGGGGCGGGGCTTCGTCATGTGCCCCGCCCCGCGTACCTCACCCGGGGGGACTGCGATCCCCCGTGATCCCCCCCGAAATGACCTCTGCTACTCACTGAGTGGTGGTCCTGCTTTCTATCTCTTACGAAAATTTGACTTTTAAGAACAGGAGATTTGAGTTTCAAACTGCAGTGTTTTGTTTTTCGTTCGCAAATCACCACATAAATCTCCACATAAATTTCCCAGATCCCTAAACTATCTTTTTTGCTGCAGCGGCTGGGGAGTTGGTCATTTCTTCTTGTTCTGGCATGAATTGTGGCAGCATTTGCCAGTAATTTTTAGTTATTTTATACTTATGCTCCGCTCTTCTCCCCAGCAGGGACCCAAAATGGCTTCTGTTCTCCTTTTTATTCTCACAACAACCCTGTGGGGTAGGCTAGGCAGAGAGTGGCTGGCCCAAAGTCACCCAGCCAGCTTCCCTGGCAGAATTGATATTCAAACCCCAGATCCTAGTCAGACCTTCTAACCGATGTACCACACGTCCTTTAAAATCGATTTCAACCAAAGGGTAAACATAAAAAGATTTTGGTGTTTTTAGAACAGGGACTATACCACACTGGCTTTAAAATTTATTTCAACTAAAGGGTAAACACAAAAAGATTTTGATGCTTTTAGGGCAAGGACAGAGAACCTACCAGCTTGGATGTTTTCTCCATCTTGTTGAGGAGATTCTTGCCTACTGGAACAATGCTAGTCTGCTTTTGCAAGGAATTTTTCCCCCTTTTGTTTAAAATATCTAACGAAGTATGCAAAAAGAATTCAGAGTTATTCTGCATTGCCCTCCCTTTAATATACATATTATTGTGTCTGTCTTTGATAAGTGCCATCCCAGTCCTTAACTAAAAAATTCTCATTCCTTGAGAACTACCAGATCTTGGAAATATAGTAAACTTTGTGCAGTAAGTCAACTCCCCCCACCCAATATTTTCATAATGTAATTTGGACAGAGAATCTGGTTTTCTTTGTACTCAGAGTAGTGTGTGTTCTGATGCAACAACAGTACACAGCTGACACCGTTGTTTCCTGTTAAATACTTTTTTAGAAGATTTTTTTTTTAAAAAAAAACCAATAACTTGTATACGTTTTTCCCCAGTTATGCCTTGCCCTGATTACATCTCAAGGTCACCGAATGAATATACCTCACAGATGTATTCTGCAAAGTAAGTTGAATAGTTTTAGACAAGGATGTTCATTTTTTGTTTGTGTCTCCCCAAAAAATGTAATGCCATTAAGCTTTCACGATAGGTAGTTTGGTAGGTGAGGGGATTTTCAGATAATTTCCATTTTAAATTGGGGAGGGGGGCAGATTGCCCCTCTTCCTTACCCCTGAGAGAGGCAAGGACCTGTTCTAGTCTCATATAGACGTGAGAGGACCCAAGTGAGGACAGGGACCTATAAGGTTCATAGTAAATGAACACTGCAATGCTAAAAGAAACCAGAAAGGACACATCTGTGGCCCACTCCTTGATAAAACAACACCATCCTTACCCAGCATGTCAGCAAGATTAAAGATAGAGCCAATTGCATGTGGAGAGGCCATTCCACAAGTGAGGTGGCACCACAGAAAAGGCCCTGTCCTGCCTTCTGAGGGTGGGGTGGCTGGGTCCAGACAAGGGACAGGCTGAGGTTTGGGTGGGCTGAGCTCTCCTTTCCCCAGCACTCCTTGGGCTTCCTGATGCTGCACTCTGTTGGTTGCTAATAATCCTTCTTCTTCACAGCAACACCATTTTTCTTTATTTCCCCCCTCCCAGGCCATATGCACATATCCTTTCCGTACCTGTATCAGAAACGATGGCCTCTTACTCTGGCCAGACTCAATACCAAGCGCTGCAGCAGTCGTCGCAGACGTATGCTGTGTATCCTCAGACAACCCAAGCCTACGGACTACCTCCTTTCGGTAAGCCAGAGCTCTTGTGGCCAAAGGCATTGAATGATCGATTTGGGAGTGAAGCACGTTGACTCCCCTTTTTTCTTCCTCTGAGGTGATAAAAAGTAGCAAGCCTCCTAGGTTGCTGTATGGATTCGCCCACGAGCCTTGCACAGGAAGCTGTACTTAGCAGAACGTGAACGCATCATAGGTCAATTCTGCTAACAGCAGCACTTTCCTCTGGCTCAGGGAGCCTTTCTGTTGATGAGAGATGCTTGGAAAGAGTTTCATGGAATAGCATGAAGGTTCAGTGCGTCGGGGGGTAGTTCCACTGTTAGTGGAGCGGATCTGTGGGGTACTTCCCAATGTGCTTCTGAGGCAGATCAGGGGTGAAAGAAATATGTTTGTGGGCAGAGAGAGATTTTCCTTGTTCTAATATCATGTGATCCTGGCATATTACCACTGAGAGCCAGTGTGGTATAGTGGTTAAAAGAGTGGTGGACTCTAATCTGGAGAACCAGGTTTGGTTCCCCATTTCTCCACATGAAGCCAGATGGGTGACCTTGGGCCAGTCACAGTTCTCTCAGAGCTCTCTCAGCCCCAGCTACCTCACAGGGTGTCTGCTGTGGGGAGAGGAAGGGAAGGCAATTGTAAGCCGCTCTGAGACTCTTTCGGGGAGAGAAAAGCGGGGTATAAAAACCAACTCTCCTCTTCCAGTCAGTTTCCAGAAAATGCTTGCAATTTCCAGAGAATTGCTGTTGCATAGATTTGGGTGAGGTGGGAGTGACACGCTCCCAGGCACTAGCTTTTCTTACCAGTGGTAGTATGGGCCCAACAGTTGTGTCTGTATGAGACAATTTTTCTTCTTGGCTCTTCTGTTTGCAGTTTAAGGAAACCACTCTGATTATTCTATTAATGGTCTTTCAGCATTTCTGTGGCTATAATCTTGCCTATAGCACATGGAGAGCAGTTTCTTGTGCAGGATTTGAGTAGTTTCTGCAAAGCTGGGTGGTCCTTGGTTGTTTACTGTAAAAAGAACAAGTTCCTGACCCTCACTTGTTCTTACAGAGAACAGTCTGGACATATACAGATGTTACACACACATGTACATACATGTATACGTATCGAGGAACCAGAGGTAGTAAAGATAGAGTAGAACCACCACTGAAGTTTCCCCTCTCTGTGAATGCATGTGTACACCCATTCTCCTACTTCTCTGGATTGCTGTGAGCCACCTTCCCATCTATACGGGACCAAAGCCTGACAGCTGAGCTCAAAATTTAATGGGGGGAAGCCCCTCACTTAAACTTTTCCCACAAAAATTTGCAAATTATTAACAATAATCTATAGATACAAAAGAAAGTCCCCTCACTGTAAAATCAATGCCCAGGCCAAACTGCTGGACCTAGAGACACCAAATTCAGGGAGAGCACTCCTACCGTGGCGTAGGTGCTTGCTAAGAAGGGATTTTTAGAAATTTGACCCCTAAGTGGGTCAAAAAGGGGAAAATGTGCTTCCCCCATAGGTTATTTAACTTCTCACAATGTGGGTTCTAGAAAACTGGTTCATATGAACTTGCTTAATATCTGATTGCTCGGATGTTGTTTTGAATATGTAGTTATGTCCCAGTTCTAAAATGTAACATAAATGAGAAGGATTTTTGTAAAAAAAAGGGGGGGGGTATGCCCTCCCCCCCAAATTCAATGCCCAGGCCAAACCCTTGCACCAAGAAACCCAAAATAAGGGGAGTGCATTTCTACCATGACGTCAAAAAAAACCCCCCCCAATGAAGAGATTTCTGAGAAACATGATGACCCCTGCTTCTTAAATGACGACTGCTTCTTAAATGGACAGTTCTATGTTGCCTGCTCCAGAGTGAGCTCATCAAGCAGCCTGGTGATCCTAGCACCCGAGGCAGAACCACTTAGGGGTCGAATTTCTAAAAATCCCTTCTTAGCGAGCACCTATGCCACGGTAGGAGTGCTCGCCCCAAATTTGGTGTCTCTAGGTCCACCAATGTGGTCTAGAGAGAGGTTCTTCAGTACAGAAAACCCCCCGATGTATGTCTCACTTCATTTTTTACACTACAGTCTTCTCTGTTAGAATTCCTACAACAAATGTCACATTTCAAATTTTGCATTATCAGTATTATAACTGGATTTATGGAACTTAAATACCGTAGCGAAGCACAGGTATCAGGCTAGTAGTAAATATAATGTTAATTATCATAGTAGCACTTATATTGAATTGTTCGCATTACTCCATGTGTATATTGCCTTGGTATTCCTGTAAGACAGGCCAGCATTATTCTCCTTCTACAATATGGATGGACATGAGGCAGGAAGCACCAGTGGCTAGCCCTAGGTCACCTAGTCAGTTTTGTGGCTGAGGAGAGAGATGAAATTTTGATTCACAGCTCATGTTCTTACACCATTTTGGAAATCTACCAGATGTAAGTAATTTATTGGAGTCAGACAATGGTAGTGTACAGAATTCTTGATCTCCTAATACTCCAAAGCTCTTTATAGCAAAAAACTTTCAAAAATGGTTACAAAACCAGAACATCCTTGAACTTCCATTCGTTGGGTTGGAGTCTGCCTGACAGCTTTGTGGATGGAAGCAGGAGGCAGCTTCCCCCTCTCTTTCACACACTTCTGCCTCCAACTCCCCCTCCACTGTTACTGACTTCCCCCATTCCCCAGTAGCAACATTTGTGTGTGTGTGTGGGGGGGAATTTTGGGCTGCTGAAGGAGCAGAGGGAGGCAAGCAAGACCCTCTCCACTAATGGAAGGCCTGTCAGAGTTATTTTTCAGCAAAATCTAGTTCATTCTCTGCTCTTTCACTCTCTTTTAAAATACTGTTCATAGAAGTGTCAGCACAATAACTTGGAGGGATTGAACAAGTTGGGGTGTTTGTACGAGTTGCTCATGTGCCCTTTTGAATAGTAATTTGGTGGGCTATTGGAAGGGGGGATTTTTATATACCCCCCCCATTTATGCAACGAAATGCCCCCAACATCATTTCCCTTCCCCCAAAGCCAAAAAGTAGCTTCTTCCAGTCCCAGTACCCTGTCAAAGGCAAACATAGGGGTGGCAAACGGCCAAGTGGTGCAATTGGGGGGGGGGAGGTAAAATTTATGGCCAGGGGTCCCCAGCGTGGTGCCTTTGGACACCATGGACCCACTGAAACCTTTCCTGGTACGTGCCAAGTGTTTTAGTGGGCAGGGCCAGCTTCTGATTAGCCACTGGAGAGGTGTTTAGCTGTGCAGATTTTTTTTTTTTTAAATGTCGCTTTGGCAGCAGGATCTCCACATATTGTGGCTGGCTCTGCCTCCTGCAGCAGCCGTTTTGTGTCTGAGCCCTCCATACTGTGTCAGAGTTCAGGACCTCAACTGTTTGAAACTGTTTTAAAAACAAAAAAGGCACCAGCGCAGCAGCTGATTATATCTGGCTATCAGTCAAGGGACTGAGTCCTGGCAACGCTATATATGAAACAGAGCAAGCCAGAAAGTGCACTTTCTTAAGCATCAGCTCAGTATAACAGCATCTGCCCTGCTGGCACTTTGGAAAGGCTTGCAAATTAACCTTTATCACATCCTTTCTCCCTTCTTTTAAATGCTGGCTAGCTGCTTTTTTTTTTTTTTTTAAAATCCTCTTCCACTCTGCTTTTTCCTCTAGGCCTGTACCTCAAAATTAACAATTCTGTTTGTCGAGACAACGGGTGTTGGTGTTTTTCTCTTCTCCCCCCTTGCATCAGCAGGCAATGCAACTTCTGTGGGTGCCAGCGCATGGCTTTTCTTTTTTCTTTTAACTGGTGCCATTTATCTGATTCAGGTGCACTGTGGCCAGGTATGAAACCTGAGAGTGGTTTAATTCAGACTCCATCTCCAAGTCAGCACAGTGTTCTTACCTGCACTACAGGCTTAACCACAAGCCAGTCCAGCCCAGCTCATTATTCTTACCCCGTTCAAGGTAAAGGTCAAGCATGGTTTCTATCTACGTACCTCTCCCCTGTAGCCTGGACCAGACACTACCAGGGAGGCCGGCATGCTTGCCTTATGGGGGAGGGTGTTTCATGCATGCTTCCCTGTGCCTGTGTCAGCTGCGCTTTCCCTCTTCGCCTGGCTCGTAGCTTGCCTGCCTGCCTTTCCAAGAGGTCTGGGGACCGGTTTGTCGACATCATTCTCTTTGGGAGAGGGAGGGTGTGTGTGTGTGTGTGTGTGTGTTGCAGAGTCACATGCATGACACCATTCAGCATGCCTGTGTTTTCCTGGGGCTTAAATGATTTTTTAAAATTGCATCATGGTTAGTGGCGCCAGCTAGCAATAATCGCCATGTCATGCCTGTGAATCTGCCCTTCCCGCCTCTGAGGTGATGCGAACGCACCTCTTTTGTAATAGCATCCAGATTAACGGACAGCAGGGCCGTGGAAGGGCAGTGCCCCATGGTTGTGATTTATGGGTGAAAATGGGGCTTCTGAGGGAACTGTGGGGTGGGGGAAGCAGCGGAGACTTGTCCTTGCACAAATGTAAAATTCTTGAGGAATTAGCTACAAAATGACTCAGCAGTGCTTATTAATGATTCCGACAAAAAAGGGGGGGCCTGCGTCGATCTCTGACTCAGCTCCTAGTCTGTTCGTAATTGCTCAGAGTGTTGGAGCAGGCCTTGGAGATTCAACTAGTTTTTGAGCAAGGGAAACCTTTACCTTTTTATGTTTAGTGATATATATTTAACATACTCCTGCTATTGGAGGTTTGTTTGGCTGACTTATTTACAAAATTTATAGTCCGCTTTTCTGCCCTTATCAGGGCCACCAAGGTTACATACAGGAAGGTCAGTGAGATCTCTTTGTTTCCTTTCAAGCAGAGAGACAGGAGAGGCAGGGATATCGGCCTTAAAACACAGCACAAAAGTACCAGTTCAATAGTGGTTAAGAAAACTAAAAACATAAGAGAAGGCACGTTGGATCAGGCCAATGGCCCATCCAGTCCAACACTCTGTGTCACACAGTGGTCAAAACCCAGGTGCCATCAGGAGGGCCACCAGCAGAGCCAGATCTCCAGAAGCCCTCCCACTGTTGCCCCCCAAGCACCAAGAATACAGAGCATCACTGCCCCAGACATAGTATGCCAAGTATACCTTGTGGCTAATAGCCACTGATGGACCTCGGCTCCATGTTTATCCAATCCCCTCTTGAATCTGTCTATGCTTGTACTCTTTGGATGAAGAAGTACTTCCTTTTACTTGCTCTAAGCCTAGTGCTCATTAATTTCATTGAGTGCCCATGAGTTCTTGTATTGTGAGAAAGGGAGAAAAGTACTTTGTTCTCTGCCTTCTCTGCCGCATGCATAATTTTGTAAGGATCTGGGAGACCCAGGTTCAGATCCTTACTCTGACATGAAAGCTTGTTGGGTGACCTTGGGCCAGTCACACCCACTCAGCCTAACCTACCTCCCAAGTTGGTTGTAAGTAGAATATGAAGTAGAGAAGGTGGGAGTGTTGTGAGCTGCTTTGGGTCCCCATTGGAGAGAAAAGTGGGAGATAGGTGAAAGAATAAAGAACAATGGTCTTGAAAGCCATCTTCAGACCCTGGTTTCTTTTCTTTGTTTGCAACCAATCTTTGACTTTGGTTAAGATGCTCAGATTAACATTTAGCCATGGTTTTATTTATTTTGCATTTACTTAATTTATACTCCACTTTCCCCCCCAAGGGGCTGTGGTGGCTCAAGTGGTTAAGTGTCAGCTATGCTGCCATGGCAGCGGGAGGGGTCAGATGACCTGTGTACAAAGTACTGCGGCATTCCTTCTGTGCTTCTTCTCTGCTGTAACGCTTGCTTATCTACAGCCAGGCAGGTGGTGTGGTGTCTAGGAGTGAGGGAACCGTGGGAGCGCTGTCGGTTCCCAGCTTTGGCTCAAACGGCCTGGGGCTCCTTCTCCCACGCGCGGGAATGTGGCTAATTGACCCAAGGAAGGGATACCCTATATCCCATTATGCTTGTAGGGGTGACGCCATTCTTAACAGTGCCTTTGTTAATGCATCTATAGCTCTTCAATAAAGTATAACCTTTCTGATAAGCATGTACTCAGTTGTTGGCTGTGGAACCTGACATTAAGACACTGAACTGCAGACCTGAAGGTCAGTAGTTCGGCAGTTTGAGACCCGAGTGCCGTGTGACAGAGTGAGCTCCTGTCTCTGGTCCCAGCTCCTGCCAACCTAGCAGTTCGAAAGCAAGAAATTGCAAGTAGATAAATAGGTACCACTTTGGTGGGAAGGTAACAGCGTTCTGTGCACCTTGGCATTTAGTCATGCCGGCCACATGACCACGGGAATATCTTTGGACAGTGCTGGCTCTTCGGCTTGGAAATGGAGATGAGCCCTAGAGTCGGATTCGACTGGCTTTCGAGCAAGGGAAACCTTTACCTTTACCTTTCCCCCCAAAGGGGACCCAAAGTGGCTTACAGTATTCTCTCAACCACCTCCTTCCCTGACACACATTCTTAAGAACTGGGGGAGCGCTAAGAGTTTCATGCCCTGATCAATAGCCAGACATCAGGTACCTAAGCAAAATTACATAGTTTCTCTCCCACTCCTGTTGAAACAATATTTTGTTTTGTGAAGGATGGGATAATAGCCTCCATTTCCATCACTGATAATATCCAATATTAATCCAGCCCCAGCGTGAATCCTCAGATTTCATAGGTTTATCACTGGGGTTTTTTTCCTCCTTTGGTTCCTCGTCTGTGGGAAGAGCTTGCTGCTCTTAATTTTCTAGTTCCTCCTAACAGCTTCCTCTAAACAAGAAGCAGCTTAATTTCACAAAGCTACCATTGGTACCAAACATTGGGTAGGATCCCACCAGTTTTTTCACTAAGTCCCATCCAGTTTTCCACCTTACTACAGCATGCACATTCACATCCATTCCATGCAGGCCTCAGGATCCCCAGCATAGCTTTATTGAGTGGTTAAAGGGGTATGTGTGATGCCATGGGACTCCCCCTCACAGAGGACCCCCATGGAATCATAGAGTTCGAAGGAACCTCCAGGGTCATCTAGTCCAACCATGTTGGATCCCTGTACACATGAGCCTAGCAATGAAAAATGGGGTCTGAATCAAACTGATATCAAGATGACAATGAGTCATGCTGAGGGTGTGCAAGGAATGTGAAGCAACTCCTCCATTAATCATTTGAAAGCCATATCTGGTAGGAGTCAACTGAAGGGCCTTTCCCCCCAAGGATCTAAGGGGTACCCTCCCTCATAATCTGGCCTTAATTTTGTTGTTAGCCATTCAGTCATGTCCGACTCTTGGCGATTCTATGGCCCAGCTCTCTCCATGTTTTCCAATCTTGTATTTATTTATTATTATTTATTATTTTAATTTATACCCCGCCCTCCCCGTTCTTTGAGTCGTTCCATGCTCAGGCTGGTGTCGATTTTTATGGTGTCTAGCCACCGTGTTCTTTGGCGCCCCCGTTTCTGGAATAAGTCAGTCGCAGTTTTATGATTTTTCCTTCCAATGACATGTCTGGTTTTATGTGCTCCAATACTTGCTTGTTTGTCACCTTTGCTGTCCAAGGAATGCGCAGGAATGATGGTAGCCTTAATAATAACCCATATAATCAAGACAATGAGCAACAGGCAAGCCGCAGCCATTTTCTCCTTATGTTAAGTGCTGGACAGGAAGATTTCTCTCCCTGCTCCATCATGTAAAAACGCTCAGCCATCAATACTTGCCTATCTAAACTCTCAGTCTCCCTAAAGGAACACTTCTCCTTGATAGTTTTACATGTAATGCAAAAGAAGGAAAACTCCCCTCCACAATGCACGCACACACAATATCCTTTTCAAGTTAGCTCATCTCCAGAGAGATGGACTTTTCAACACTCCCACATCCCAGTGCCAACACCTTTTCCCCTCCTCAATCTTAGCAAAAATGTATAAAAAGTTATCCCTCTGTCCATCCAATCTGTAGTAGGTTTTGGATCCCAGCCTGTTACCCCCAACTGTATGGTTGGCTTCTCTAGTTTTCCACTCCCTTCCGCTGAGCTTCTCCAGTCTGGTCAGTTTCCCTCTCCAGAGCTGCCCAGCCCTCTTCAGGAGGCAGGCTTGTATGTCTTTGATTCTCCCCTTTTATTTCCTCCCTTAGCAGCAAGTAGTTTGTTAGGGAAGTTTGTACTTCACATGTTTCTTTATTTTATTTCTGTAGCCCCTCTGTTTTTATTTACCTGCTATAACTTAGCTCTATTTCTGTTAATTCAATAAATAACTTTTTTTGTATTTAAGAAATGTATTCCCCTTGAATTGCTTTGAGTATCAGTCTGTATCTTGACCCCCATATACACGGGTTACAGTGTTGGTAATTAGTACCCCACAACACGTGTTTTCTCTTTGCTAGCATAAGGGAGCTTTTTGCTAGCTACAGGGGCTATGTGAGTATTGGGGATTTGTGTAATGGGAGTGGCATGTCTGTCTTTTTCACCAGCAGAAAAGCTGGTTGGATCCCATCCACTGAGTAGAACTTGAAGGAACGTGACCCTGGCAGAGAAGAACCACATCTGCCGGGGAAGTGTTTTCCATCTATGTTGCATGTTGTTGTGCCTGGATTGATTGATTTTTAAATGGGTTATTGGTGGTCTACAGACTTTGCATGCCCTGTAGCAGCATGAGTAGCATTACAGATGAAAATTGGCAGCCCTTTCTGTGACTGGCTTCTGTCACTTTTGGGCACAGGTGAGGGAGGTTTTGTTTTGGTCGTTCAGAGGACGCATTAAGAATGGTAAACACTGAGGCATTGCCACTGTAATAAATCCCTCTTTGAAAGTGTTTCACTTACTGGAGAGACAAGTTGCCCACTGCAAAAACTGAGGCACAGTAGCTGGCAGACTTCCTGGAAGGATTTCACAGAATGATAAAACTAATTTCCTAGAATTATGTGGGTTTTTAACATCCTATTGGAAGTGGACCACCCATCTGCAGGGATTAAATTGTTTCCTTAGACCCCATTAAGAGCTGCTGTATGCCCCCCCCCCCCAGCAGATGCCTCTTGTTGTTTTGATAGTGGTCCAAATGTTTAATATTTAAATTCTGAACTGGGACGGTTGCAAAGAGTGCCTAGTTTGTTTTTATGTTCACAAGTTGTAAATGTTGCTAGAACACAGCTTAAGATGCAGGTGGGTATACATGGTGGGTATGGAGGAACTAAACCTTGTTTCCCCCAACTTTTAAAAATATTTAAAATCTAGCAGAAAAATGCATTAAAATTCACAGCAAAAAGATTAAGACGGGTAGCCATGTTTGTCTGTAGCAGTAGAAAAGAGCAAGAGTCCAGGAGCACCTTAAAGATTAACAAAATTTGTGTCAGGGTATGAGCTTTCATGAGTCACTGCTCACTTCTTCAGCAAAAAGTTTAGTGTGGGGAATAGAATAGGTCAGGATCCTGTTACTCTCATGGAAAGCTCTTCTCTTTCAATGAAGGAAAACGTTAGAGCCAAGGCTGCTGGTTGGTTCTCTTTTGCCTCCCCTTTTATGTTTGAACCCCACTTGCGCTTTTCCCCGGGCGCATTAACACCCGGTCATCCTTTTGATTTTTTGTTTTTACAGCTTCAAGTACCAATGCCAACTCCGTTTCCACGTCCTCAGCAGCTGTCAATATTTCATCATCTGCAGTAGCCAGCATCTCTCAACAGGTACATCTTCCTTCTGTAGAAATAAACCTGCACAAAACATACTTTCTTCCATAGCATGCTAGGTACCAGGCGTAGCCTTTTTTTAAAGAACTGGAGAAGAAACTCTTATGATTTTTTAAAAAACTATCTCTGAAAAAAACAATCTTTTACTTTTTCGGTGTTGCGTCATTGCTGAATTTTTGTGCAACGTGTGTATTTCAGCTCTCGAGTAGAAACCGAGCTTGAATGTCCACTGCTTGGCTGCTGAGAGGGGCTGTACTAAAATTCCAGGGTTCCAGTCACCCTGGGGATCCAGGGACCTGAGCAAGGTGCTGTTGGCGGAGAGCTGCAGCATGCCTGTTCTAATCAGTAATCTTTAGTAGGTTCTTCTGAATGGGACTGGGGAGGAATGCTGCTGCAAATCTTTGTCTTGGAGCCCATGGTGGCTTTTGTCCATCCTGGCTCACCATACTGGGGAGAATAGTCTTGTAGCAGAAAAGTCTAGAGCTCCAAAGTGGGAGATCTTACACAATGTGCCTCCTGCCCTGCCCACTCGTTTACTTTCTAATCGTGGTGGTGAATCACTTCAATTTGCTATACCTTTCATTTTCCCACCTGTACATTTTAGGAAACTTTGGTTGGTGTAAATGGCAAACTGGTCCTGGTTACATTTTAGAGAAGAATCACAGAAAGTCTGTAGCTTCCTTCTCCACCCGAGAAGAAATACAGCAAGAGACCCTTCTCAGAGCATCCCTTTCCATTCAGTTATAAATAGGGCCGTGTGCTAAAATAATAATAAATTCGGTTCCCAGAGAGATTTAGAAGCCTATAGAAATTATGCAAATCTACATGATTTCCGTTGTTTTGCATAATTTGTTCTACTTGTCTTGGGCAGAGTCAAGAACCTATACATGGTATTGAAACCACATTCCATCTGGCTCCCAGAAGTCTATTTCCACCCACTCTCTAGTTCTGAGATTTCAGTAGGCCACTTATTTTTGGAAATATCTTCTGAGCCATATGGGTTAGAAACTGGGATATTTAAGCAAACTCAAAGATTCTCAGGGGCACCTTTCCCCCCTGCTTCCATGGAACTGTAGTATACACAACCCCCTGTTTATACAGAATCCTTATAAGCAGAAAGTAACGTATATGGAAGTGCTCAGATAGGATTAAGAAAAGTAACATATTTTTAAAAGAAGGAATTTGAATATGGAAGTTGCTAAATAACAAGCAAACACCATGTTTTCCTTCCTCTTCCAGTTGGTCCCAAATTAATTCTTCCCCAAGTTCCCTGCAGAACAAACTGTCATTAAGTGTGTTTGTAAATGAGAGATGGGAAGGGGGGCATTTTGAAAATCACCCTCTTACATCTACTTGGTGGGTTTTGCATCGATACCAGGGTGTAGAGCTCTGTAGCTTTGCTGTACAGGTTTGTTGTCTATGCAACCAGTGTTCCCTCTAAGCTGAGTTAGTGTGAGCTAGCTCACAGGTTTTTAGCCTCCAGCTCACACATTTTCGTCTTAGCTCTGGAAGGATGACTTACTGTGGTAGCAATGTCTGGCCACCAAATTCCAGTGCTCGTGGGGAGGGGAAGGTATGGCGGTGGGTCCAGGCGGAACATCAAGGGAAGGACACGGAGAAATAGATCTGCTCGGAGTCCTTCCAGCCTGCGACTCATCCCAAAGGTAGTCGGCAGTGAGGCCAAGATTAATAACCCCCCTCTGACATTGGTGCTGTGCAACACCAGGTCCATTAACATCAAGACTACAGTCCTTCAGGACTTTATACTGGAACAACGGGTCGACCTGGTGTGCTTGACTGAGACCTGGGTGCGGGATGGGGAGACTGTGGCTCTTTCTCAGCTTGCCCCACTATGGTTCTCGGTCCTTCACCAATCACAGACTCGGGGACGGGGGGGGGGAGTGGCTATTTTCATTCGGGAGGTTTACTCCTTTAGGGCACTCCGTGCCGTGGAGATCTCGGGCTTGGAGTGTGTTGGCCTGAGGCTGGAGGCTGCGGAGAGTTTGGCGATCTGGCTGGAGGCCGTATCAGGTTGGGCGTTGGAGCACCCTAGGCTGTTAGTCATGGGTGATTTCAACATCCATGCTGAGGACGCAACCTCTAGTCGGGCTACGGACCTAGTGTAATCTATGGCGGCACTGGGACTCTCCCAACTTGCAACGGCCCCCACGTACCAGGCTGGTCACACACTCGATTTGATCTTCGCGGCTGGGTTGACAGTGGACCGGATTACTGCTGATGTGGTACCATGGTCAGACCACCATGCCCTGAAGGCCCATCTGAATGTTCCACCCCAACCCTGTTTAGGCAGTAAGCAGATTTTGGCTCGCTCGAGAAGCCAAATGGACCCAATGCAGTTTCAGATGGCTCTTCAGGATCCGAGGCCCCCTGGCAGATCGTTGGATGAGCTTGTGGAGGTCTGGCATGTCCGACTCTCTGCAGCCATCGACGATATTGCTCCCAAACGCCCTCTCCATACTCGCTCTAGGCTGGCACCCTGGTACACCCAGGAGCTCCGGCTGATGAAGCGAGAGTTGAGACGGCTAGAGAGATGGTGGCGTCGCGCTTGTGATGAGGCATCAAGAGCATCTTTTAGGACGTTTATGAAGGCCTATGAGATGGCGGTCAAGGCCGCAAAGAGAGAATTCTATGCAGCCAGGATCGCGTCTGCTAGCTCTCGGCCAGCCCAATTATTTAGAACAATTCGGTCTTTAACGATTCTGCCACAGGGCAGACAAAATGCTAGGGAATTGGATATTGGCTGTGAGGCATTTGCGAGCTATTTTGCAGATAAAGTCTCGGCGCTCCGCCACAACCTCCCCGCTACAGTTGATACAATGAGTGAACTTGAGGCCCCTTGCACGACTTTGATGCTGGGTTTAGAGTGCTTCAGCCCACTCAGTCTGGAGGAAGCTGACAGATTGCTTGCTTCTGTGCACCCAACCATATGCAGCTTTGATCCGTGCCCTTCCTGGCTTATTAGAGCTGGCGACGAGGGGTTGCGAGGTGCCCTACGGGAAATTATCAACAAGTCCTTCTCTGAGGGGTGATTCCTGGGGGCACTCAAGGAGGCGATGGTCTGCCCTCTCCTAAAAAGATCTTTGGACCCGGCCGAATTGGCTAATTATCGACCGGTGTCCAATTTGCCCTATTTGGGCAAACGTTTCGAGAGAGTGGTGGCGTTACAGTTGCAGGGCTTTCTGGATGACGCTTCTATCCTAGATCCTCTCCAGTCCGGCTTCCGTCTGGGGCATGAGACTGAGACGGTACTGGTCGCTCTGACTGACAACCTCCGTAGGCAATTGGATCGGGGCGGTGTGACGGCACTATTGTTATTAGATCTGTTGGCCGCATTTGATGTGGTTGACCACCAGTTTCTGACCCACCACCTCACCGACGCGGGGATTCAGGGACTTGCCCTTCAATAGCTTGCCTCTTTCCTACAAGGTTGGGGACAAAGGGTGGTGATAGGGGAACAGCAGTCCCAGAGACACCCCCTTGAATGCGGGGTGCCCCAAGGGGCTGTATTGTCCCCGATGTTGTTTAACATCTACATGCTCCCCCTTGCCCAGCTTGCCCGGAGGTTTGGGCTTGGGTGTCATCAATATGCGGATGACACCCAGCTCTATCTGATGCTGGGCGGCCGGTCAGACTCCAGCCCAGAAGATCTGCACCGGGTGTTGCAAGCCGTGGCTGGTTGGCTCCGACTGAGTCGGCTGAGGCTAAACCCGGCAAAGACGGAGGTCCTGGGTTTGAGTTGATGTGGTTTGGGGTTGGGGCTCCCGCTCCTGACCTTCGAGGGGGCACCTTTGGTGCCAGCGTCGGAGGTTAGGAGTTTGGGGGTGCTCCTGGACTCCACATTATCCATGGAGGCCCAGGTAGCAGCCACTGCCAAAGCGGCCTTTTACCATCTTCGGCTGACTCGGCAGTTGGTTCCTTTTCTCTACCATGATGACCTAGCCACAGTGATCCATGCGACGGTCACCTCGAGGCTAGACCATTGTAATGCTCTCTACATGGGGCTGCCTTTGTTGCAAATCCGGAAGCTGCAGCTGACGCAGAATGCTGCAGCCAGGCTGTTGATGGGCCTTCCTATGGGGGCACACATCCAGCCTGTGCTGAAAGCGCTGCACTGGCTGCCTATAGCATACCGGATTCGCTTCAAAGTGCTGGTTCTTACCTTTAAAGCCCTAGATGGCCAGGGTCCGACATACCTACGGGACCGCCTTTCCCCATATGTTCCCCAACGAGCACTACATGTCCGGGACTAAACATCTCCTGGTGGTTCCAGGTCCCAAGGAGGCCAGATTAGCGGCGACTAGGGCTAGGGCTTTTTCGGTGGCGGCTCCTATCTGGTGGAATGAGCTCCCAGAGGAGATCCGGGCCCTGCGGGACCTTGCACAGTTCCGCAGGGCCTGTAAGTCGGAGCTCTTCCGCCAGGCATTTGAGTAGGAGCCGCCACAACTGTTACCATCTGTCTACGACTATTACTATCTGTCCTAGCCCTTTATTACCAACTCGCCGTGAGCGCTAAAATGGTGGTACTGCGTGGAGCTGTGGCCACTAAGGATACTACCCTGATGACGTCATCTGTTCTCTTGTTAGATATTATGGCGAGCACTTAAGTTGTATTGAATGTTTTTAAATGCAATTTTAATGTTTTATGTATTGGGCATTGGCCCCATCTGTACGCCGCCCTGAGCCCGTTTGCGGGGAGGGTGGGTTATAAATTCAAATAAATAAATAAATAAATAATTTATGCAGTAGCCAAATCGCTCACTTACAACTTTAATGCCAGTAGCGCACAAAGTAGAATTTTCGCTCACAAGACTCCACAGCTTAGAGGGAGCATTGTGCTGCCTGATATCGTATGTCAAGCCGAAGGTTTAACCCTTCCACATCCTGACCCAGTGGCTTCTCAGATGTGTGTTTTCCCACTTGCCTCAGCAAAGCATGCAGAAGCACAGACTGTGCAGAGTCACCTCTCCCATTGAAGTAACCAGGGTAGCGTGGTCCTGCAGGAGCTGTCTGTCGCAGCACTGCAAGCTCTGATATTTGGAGCTTAGAAGGCAGAGCTCATTTGCAAGCATCGATCCAATTTGGCGTAAAGCTGTAATAATTGCTTTAGGTTTGTCTAGCCTAGGGGTCCCCAACCTGTTTGAGCTGGTGAGCACCTCTGGACCTCTGACACAGCATGGTGGGTGCAGCCACAAAATGGCTGCTGCAGGAGGTGGAGTCTGCCACAAAATGGCTACCACAGCTTACCTTCAGTAACACAGTGCAGAGCCTCATGCTGTGCAGGCAGCTGCTGCCAAAGCAACATTTCTTAAATCTGCAGAGCCAATTCAGTCTCCAGTGTTCAGTCAGAAGCCTTGCTGAGCAGAAGCCCCACCCAGCCCAGCCCACTTTCTAAAAACCACTTGCCGGGCACCAGGAAAGGTGTTGGTGGGCGCTGTGGCTCCCATGGGCACCACGTTGGGGACGCCTGGCCTAGCCTACAGTAAGCGTTGCAGTGCCGTCCGTGATCCAGAGCTGGGATTTAGTTTCAGTGTTCTGGGGAGCTGGGGATTAGTTTTCATTCCTTGCCCTCTTTGACTCTCCCTTTTGATAGGAGTATCCTACATACACCATCCTCGGCCAAAGTCAATACCAGCCATATTTCTCAAGTTCTAGCTTTGGAGTGATAGCACCAGCAGACAGCAGCACGGAGAGTTCCACCTTAGCAACAACCACGTATCCTTCTGAAAAACCAAATGCCATGGTGCCTACTCAGACAGCACAGAGACACTCCGCCGGTAAGGAGGGCCGTGGGAGAAAAGGGCCCATTTCCAGGTGCTCCTGTTTGCTTAAAAGATAAACTCCTACAATGTGAGTCGCATCTTGTTTTCCCTTCTAGGAGACCTGACAACAAGTCCATCATTGCTGCGAGCAACCGCTAGTAAAGATCTAGATGAGCAGTCTAGGAAAAACGTGACAGGGAAAAACAGAGGCAAGAGGAAAGCAGACTCTTCTTTGCCACAGGACAACGAACTGGAAGTTGGTGTCCCCAACCCCAACCCCACCCCGTTCCTTCTCTGTATACAAACTGTGATCTCTTTTCCTTTCGGGCAGAGGATGAGATACTTGAATGATTGGATAGAGAGGGTCGGCGTGTGTGTGTGTGTGTGTGTGTGTGAAACTTTGTAAACAAAAAATGGAGCATTCAAAGGACTTGAAGCCATCTGTAGGGAGGAGAGAAACCTCCAAGGGAAAAAAGATCTGTTGATCCTGCAAAGGTGGAAAGCCAGGCTTCTGGTAGTTATACTAAGCGCAGCCAGTCCAGCAGCTTTTATTTACTTTATTTATACCTTGCCTTTCTCCCCAATGAGGACCCAAAGCAGCTTACATCATTCTCCTCACCTCCATTTTATCCTCACCACAACCCCATGAGGTAGGTTAGGCTGAGAGTGAGTGACTGGCCCGAGGTAGCCCTGCAAGCTTCCATGGCAGAGTGAGGATTCGGACCGGGGTCTCCCAGGTCCTTTAACTACTACAGCTTCCTACTGTCTGCCAGTCACAGGGCCCCAGTGTTGCACCTCCCTTTGTTCCTTTCTACCCCTGAGAAAGCTGTGTGGCCTAGGCATGGCAGCTCATTAGGCTAAGACCCCAATTTCAAGTCCCTGGCTTCTGAGAACGAAAACCGTTAACATTTTGATAATTTCACACCCATGGGATCTAGTGCGCACGCGCTGGATCAATCGGTGCTGTAGCAATTTCTCCAGGGGAGCTGATCTCTGTCGGCTGGGGATCAGTGGTAAAAGCGGGAGATCCCCAGGCCCCACCTGGAGGCTGGCAACCCTAATGGCAGCTCATTAGGCTAAGACCCCAACGCCTTCTCATTTCAAGTCCCTGGCTTCTGAAAACGAAAACCATTAACATTTTGATAATATAGATCTTCGACGTGGTCTCTGTGCTTCACACCCATGGGATCTAGTGCGCACACGCTGGATCGATCGGTGCTGTAGCAAGCTCTTTTAACGGATTTTTGC